TGTGGCGCATCGTGCATACAAAGGACTTTCATTTCGTGGTTTGACGATGACACAAAAGAATTTCGCAGAATATGAACGCGCGTTAAACTGCCATGAAAGTTACATTCACACAAAAACGTTTTGTTCATCTTCGGCTGATCTCAAAGCGGCCAAAATGTTTTTGCCTGATCAATCAACAACTAAGCTTAAGGTTTTAATGATTTTTCATTTCGATCAACCATGCTCCACGGCTATCATTCTTTTTGGTGATTTAGCAAAAAAACTGCAATGTATTTCAAAGTTTGAAGGTGAACAAGAAATTTTAATCCTTCCTCAGACGATATTTTCCGTTATGAAAATTGAAAAGTCTACAGATGGATTACAAATAATACATTTACAGTGTTATAATACAGCTAGTGTTCAAGCTGAAATGTGGGAAGATCGATACAAAAGTTATATCGACGCATTTTTTTCTGATTAACATTATATCCGTCCTTATTTCAAGACTACCAATCAAAACTAAAGATTCTACAAGTTTTGCGATTTTTATTCCATTGATTGTAAGTCTATGGTCATACGAAAAAGTACAAAGTGTTTGTGTGTGTGTGTTTGTCCACACAGAGGTGTGACGGACGTACATAGATATAGGCATGTGGCAGTGTGACGGACGTACATACATACAGTGACTACTGAGTTTTCTGTGGAAGCAAAGAAGTGGAACAGTTGTCCTGGCTGCGACCGAAGAAAAGCGTGAGCATTGTCTGGAATCCAGAATGGCTGTAGACTTACAGTCAATAGAATAAATAAATAACGTGAATCGCATCGATTCACTAAGTCCATTGCCTGTAGGTCGAGTGAATGAACTGTCGGGATTATTAGTCATTGTTTTGTAAGTCGATCTTGTTCGAAGAATAAAATCACAAAAACATTAAAACAGAAAAACTATCTAACAGTGTACTAACAAACACTATATATAGGTGAAGAACGTATGTTGACTCATGAAGAACTGTGTCAATATTCTTTGTGATCATGAGAAAAGAAAAGAGGAAGAGGAAGGAATAGTAACGCAATAACGCATGCGTTACTGCGTTACCTGTAAAGAAACGGTAAAGCGCCACCCCTATTTCTGACCGAATAAGCGATATCGTTATTAGTGACTATTGTGGGAAAAAAAGTGGATATACCTATTTTTCTCATACCTTGATAGCGAAACATGCTACAGACCGACAGTTTTCAGTCTCTGAAACTCATAAATTTCATCGTCAATGTTATTTTTGAGAAACATTCCTCATGAAAGATCAACAGTTCCACTTCACTAGTAATAATAAGAACGAAATGTTTCGTTTTTTCGTTTTTTCAGATAAGTATATTATTAATGTGTAATAAAAGTACAAAAAGACATTAATCGTGATTGTCAATGTACAATGCAAAAGAGTGTACGATTCTAAGATGCTATGAATGAGACAGATTCATCCTTTATCACCTCCGTCAACACTGGTATTATTTACTGACAAAAAGTCAGATGACAAAAGCAGTTATAAAATCAAATCATGTTCGCATCAACATTTATTTTTATTCATAAAAAGATTGAATTTATACAAAAATAATCGGTCAGTATCACGTACTGATGATGAAATTGAACGTATTCGATATCAGTTGATTGCCACTCGTCTCTATGTAGTATTATTCATTTTTTTTTTATTGCATTCGTTAGTTATACAACAATTTATCAATCAAAAGAAAGAGTAACAAAACACACTGGTTTATTAACATATTTTGACTATAAAAAGTTATGGACAAGATATTGAGACAATCGAAAGTGTCCATGTTCACATCAGACAATATCGTATAAAACTTTTCCATCCATATCTCCCACATTTCATCAACTATGTTCAAGTGATTTTATTAGCGATGAATGGCTCGATTATTTATCAAATACAGTTGATGATGATTATTATTTTTTGGAATTTCGAAAATATGGTCAAAGCTTCTTTCAGGCGCTATCAACACTTTGTAAAATGGTTGGTAAAACTGTTTTTGATGCATTAGCTCATGTACGCACTGCAGTACTGGTTAGTCCAACACTGATAACAAAAGATTCATTTTTATCAGAGACGGATGCTTCCATTGATTTATTTAAAACGCAAGCAAAGCGTTCATTTTTAAAAACGTTTAGTTTAATCCGTCATACGTTCCATAGTAATAGACTACTGAGTGGTACAGCAACATCCGCTGTGCCGGGTCGCGTTCACTTGGCCAACAATCACTTGGCCGACACATCACTCTGTCGACACCACTTGGCCGACAGTGGGCAGTATGAGAGTGAGTTCGAAAAGTAGTTTCACACAAAACATATTATCATCATGCGAAGGTATATATCTATAGTTGTATCGCGCTCAAGTGTCGCTCGGTCAAATGTCAAAGATATGGACAAATTTTTTGTCGGCAAAATGAGTTGTCGGCAAAGATTACATGTCGGCCAAAAGTACCTTGTCGGCCAAACAATTTGCCGCTGTGCCATTTATAACTTATGGTAATAGTCATTTACCCGTTAGTTATGCTTATTTTGTATTTCCTGACAAAAAATCAAACAAAATGTAGTTGTGACACATCATTGAAATGGGCTATACAGCTGAATTTATACAGTACTTCTCTTACTCGTCAAATTTTATTCAAAATTCATGGTCTTTACATTAGCTGTTATCCAATAGGATCTGTTCTCTATTCTTCGTTCGAAACTTTTTATAATCAAACTTGTATTGACGAATTACAATCGTACATTAATTCAACATCTCCAATAACTGTTGTAGCTCTTAATTCATCTTTGCCAACTAAATATTCACAGATGAATACAATTGTAAATGTTATTGAAACAATCGGTGGATTATCAACTGTGTTAATCATTATAACACCATCAATCATTAAACTAATACTAAGAATCAAAGACCCAAAGACCACAGAATCAGGTACGTGGAATCTCTTTTTGCCGATGCTATTCTAAATTGTATGAGTACGAAGTTAGGCTAGAGTGCTAAGAGCGATCATAAGCAGATCATCATTCACAGCTAGTTTTTGACCTTCTATGAAACTCTCCCTCACATTCACATCGACACAAGGATCGATCAGAGGCATTTTCATTTGTCCATGTCAGAATTGGAAAATGCAAAACTTCTTTGTTACTGAACTTTATAATCGTCAGTTTTTACGTAATTATTACTTTGCAGTAATGAGTTTATTTTCAAAACTATAGACAAAATAATGGATTCATCACTGTATGTAACTTGCTGTTATGTAGTCAAATGTTGCCATGTAGGAGTTTCTAGTCTAACTGTAATTTGTATAATTGTTTTCGTTACTTCTTTTTCACCGTACATATATGTCTTTTTATGGACAATTAATTTTCTCTCATTGTCATCGATTGCTTCCACAATAGTTTCATCTTGTTCTTTCCCAACACCACCATAGGCTCCACTATAAACGATTATACATGTGATACATTGAGAAGTTTTATTAGTGATGCTCGTTTCTACTAAGTCGTTTCTGAAGTCTCTTTTCGCACCCATACGGGGACAGCCCGTTCTTTTATTTCGGATGGCATCCATGTCAAAATGAATTTGCATCTAGAGACAAGATGAAGTATGTCACGTTATCAGTAATGTGAGCGAAATCCTTTTGTTTTATTAACAAAAAAAGGAATTCGGATGAGCTTAACAAACTTGTACGCCTTGGAGTTCTAGACAGTCTCTTTTTCAAATCAGTTTCCGACATGACTAACAGAATACTTCTGATAATGTTATGTACTATTGATCAGTTTTATTCTGAAGATTCTTTCATTTAAATACATGAATAAGTTATTTTGACTGATGCTTTGATTGTAAGTTCTCTACGTGGTTAACGGTTTTAAATACAAAATTCCACCATCTCTTCGAATTAAAGATATAGGATGCTGGAAATAATATACTGCTATTGACGT